TTCATAGATCTACATCTCTATATCTGTACCTCGCTGAATATCTCCATTTTTGAATAACTCCAGCTTCTTATGTAGACATCTCTATATATGTCCAATTCTCGGTATCTCCTGATTCAGCTGCCTACATCTCTGAATATCTCCAGCTCTGAATATCTCCAGCTCTGAATATCTCCAGCTCTGAATATCTCCAGCTCTGAATATCTCCAGCTCTGAATATCTCCAGCTCTGAATATCTCCAGCTCTGAATATCTCCAGCTCTGAATATCTCCAGCTCTGAATATCTCCAGCTCTGAATATCTCCAGCTCTGAATATCTCCAGCTCTGAATATCTCCAGCTCTGAATATCTCCAGCTCTGAATATCTCCAGCTCTGAATATCTCCAGCTTCATATATGTACATCTCTAGATTCCTCCAGCTCTACATATCTCCAGATTCATACCTCTACCTATTTATATATCGACCTCTCTGAATATCTCCAGCTCTGCATATCTCAAGGTCTAAATATCTCCAGCTCTGAATAGCTCCAGCTTTCTGTATCTACCTGTCTATATATCTCCAGCTCTGCACATCTCCAGCTTCATAGATCTACATCTCTATATATCTACTTTCCTGAATATCTCCAGGTGTAAATATCTGGAGCTCTGAAGAGATCCAGCTTCATATATAGAGAGCTGTATATCTATCTATATGCAGCTCAGTATATCTTCAGCTCTGTATAGCTCCAGCTTCATATATCTACATGTCTACATATGTCGAGCTCTATATACCTCCAGATTCATCTCTCTAAATCTCTATGTATCTACCGCTCCGTATATCTGTATATATATTGTAGGGGGATTTAGGAACTTTTTGATTCGACTGGCGTGTTGCGGGACCTGTGGAAAATTGTGTGGGGATTGGGTAAAAGTCGGCCTACGCGGATGTGGTGTGTGAGGGAAATGGCGTGGGCATTTGGAAAGCTTTCTTGACGGCACGTGATGGCTTTTGCGTGGGAAAGTGGTCATTTTGTGTGGGGATTGATTTCAGCACTCTTCATGGGAATGTGCTGGGCCGGCCCCCGGGCGTCATTTCCTCGACTGCGGTGCGGTAAGCGGTGCGTGCGTTTTCATTCCCGTGAAAGTGTCTGACGAGGGTCTGCCCTTTCCCGCAGGCTCCTCCTCGTGCCCCCGTCCTTGGAGCCAGCGTCTCAGCGAGGGGCCGCAGCGTGACAGGAGCGGGACATGGGGCAGAAGGGCCCCCGGGACGTGTCGTGTCGTGTGGTGTCTGCAAGGGTCACTCTGGGCAGTCCGAGGTGTGTGCGGGGCCTGCAGCCGTCCCTTGGAAGCAGCCAAGGCCCCACGGGCGACAGGTGAGTAGGTCTTTCTGCTTTGACATGCTCAGCGGACGCTCAGCTTCTGCCTGGATGCACATCACCACGTAGCCTGCTCCAGCGCTAACACATCCAGTCATGCCAGCTCTTGCCTCTACTGCTGGCAGCACCCTCCCAAAACAATGAGCTGCACGTGGGCTGTGTGGTGGGAGAAACCTCGCTAAGGTTCGTTGTCTAGCTGTAATTTGATTGACAGACAACGCGGGTAAAGAAAGACAGCTGTTTATTTGCTCGAGCAAAGACCATAAAGCCAGCAAAAGGCAAAATGGCCCCCCCCTAAGGGTGAGGTGATCTTTTATACTTATTACAACAAGGCAAGACTTCATGGTTAACAAAAAAAGCAATACTTGGGCGGTGCTTTTTAAATCTTTGTAACAGCATATTTCTATTAAGCTGAACTAGCACTTTTTAAAAGCTAAAAGTTAAGTAACAGTAACATTATAATATGTTAGCAAAACCTTACACAGTAGTAGATACTTTTTAAGGACACAACCAGTGCACCCAGAACAATGGTTTCCCTGTCTTATCTTACTTCTTGCTGTAGCTGATTTTTCAGCACACAGACACAGAGATACTTGCTGCTTTTAACTCAGAAAATGCTTAATACAGTTAAAATGATTACTTGACACAAGCAAAGGCTTAGCTATTAATCTGCCTTGTGGTCAGCTGCATTGCTAGGCCACAGGTCATGCCTTGTATTTAGCTGTAAAGCTAATACTTTCTAATAATCTAAATTATTGTAAACCTAACAGTATGCTTATCAGAAAACTATTTTATTTTAGGGTAATAACAAACCTGCGCACTACATAGCCATGTTGGTCTAAGGACATAGGCAGAGAAGGTTCTTTGAGTAAATCTGATATCTCTTATTAGACCAACTAAATAGTTGGAAAAATTCTTCTTTGCAAGCTTTAGGGTTTAAAAACCCTTCATCAGGCCGAGGAAGCATCTGCAGTTGGTCTGTGCTCTTCCTTGATGGAATGAATAGTAAAGAGCCAGAGGTTGGTATGCATGCAAGAAAGGCAGTCATTGAAGATGTAAATTGAGGAGTCAGTGGGTGAGAGAGAGGCTGGGGGGGCAGGGGAATGAATTACTGAATTACTATCAGATTGCCTGGAGTTCTTTATGTTTCTAAAAATTTCAGGAAAACCAGACTTAATTTCTAATTAAAATGTATGCATAAATCTACAGAGCTAAAAAAAAGTAAGGCAGAAGCACCACTCACGCTTTGCAGGTCACCTCCAATTCATATTTAAAATCAGTACACACAACCCTAGTAAATAGCCATGCATATTTTATGTTCTAGGATTATTCTTAAAAAAGCCTGATACATTATAACTGACTGTACTGTTGGGGCTAAAAAAATAACCCAGAATGTACAGCAACTCCCTTTTCAGCATTAGCACAACCACCCCGCAAAAAAAAACCCCAAAACTGGTGAATTTTGAAGCATAACAGAATCCTGGGACTGGCATGAACACAAAAATAAAACAGTTAAAAGTCCAACATTACCACATTTTGAGTGCTAGATGACAACAATAACTTTTAGTTCTAACACTGCAAAGTAACTTGTTGACTTGACTCATTTCTCCCTTCCTTATCACCTAGGCTTTCTGCTCCACTGTATTACTTCAAGAACAGCAATTTCCCTTGAAAATGCAAAGCGGCTCTTCATAACCAGCCTCTCTCTGACTCCCAATTGTTATGCTTGCTTTCTCCTGAAGAGCACACCATCAAAACTTAAAAAAATAACTGGGCACCTCTGCATGTGCAATGAAAGCATATGAATTAAACTCCAGCACTTATTGTGCTGGAGTTTATTGTTCCCAGGAGCGCTGTTTGACCATATGCCTGAGACAGCAGCACATTGAGCCGGGGATAGAGCAGGCCTGGCTGGTAGAAGGTCCGGGGTAGAAAGTGCGGTAGGTCAGCTGGTCAACCTGGGGCTGCTCCCCTCAGCTCACCATGCTCCAGAGAGGCTGACTGGGCCATGAAGGTGCATCAGCACAGGGCTAGCCAGCAGGCAACCCCCACAATGAAGCACCCTCATGCCCTAGCCAGCTGGGGCAGCGTTTACATGTGCGTTGCTGCAGAGTTTTTTTTACTCCACACCAGAATAGTACTTGTATTTACTTGTACTGAGATGCCAAGCCTTGAGATATAGTTGCAAATACTATAGTCAGACTTCTTTGTCTAAGCCTTCAATAGCTTCCCAGTATCTACTATGCAAAGGCAGAGATAGAATATATATAATACAGTAAGGTCATTTGATGATGCATCTAATTTCTAATGTATGAAGTCAATGCAGTGACATTTATGTTAGCTAGGGAATTAGTTATCTGGCAAGACTTAAGCAACTTTCCAGAAAGAGAATCAGCCCTCCAAAGACTAATAAAGAAGTCATTTTCCATTCTTCTTACTGACTAGTTAAAGAATTAAAACATTTTATTAGAAAGGCTATTTTGAGAATTGAATTACTGATATAAAAGGTAGGTTTTTGGATTTATTCAACATCAAATTTCAACCCTTAATAAATCTAAATTTCATCAAGACGATGTCTCAGAAAATGGATTGAGGGAAAAGTAGTTTTAAAAGATCCCCAACTATTAAATATGTCTCAAGAATTTTCTAACTCACTCCCCACCCCTTCTCCCAAAGGACTGTTTCAGCGCACACAGCATACTCCTAAATGTGCTACATAACTTCAGCTCCTAAAACAGGTCTGCAGAAGGTCCTAGCCAGTGAAAGGATAACAACTATTATAGTTTCATAGTTTCTAGGGTCGGAAGGGACCTGGGCAGATCATCTAGTCCGACCCCCTGCCATGGCAGGAAAGAGTACTGGGGGTCAAACGACCCCAGCAAGATGGTCATCTAACCTCCAAATCCAACCAACCAACCATGAAAAGAGTATTTCTTTCCTTCCAAGGAGAAAAGAAGTTATAACAGCCCTCTGAGCGACCTACTCCCTCCACGTTGCCCCATTCTTAACTTTTACAGCACTCACCATGACTTGTTCAGTGCATCTCTAACACTGACAAGTGCATCATCTAGCACTGACAAGATGAAACAAGCCCCAAAGCAGTAGCAAGACAAAGCAACCTGCCGTTCCTCTGACAGTATCACATGTCCTAGTGAAACAAAGCTATGAGCATAGCCAAGAAATAAAATTTAAGTTTTTCTTGGAATGATTTTGGCTAATGCAAGTTACCAACCACTTCTCCCACTAAAATTGTTCAGACCCTTCATCCTAGAGAGGAGACATGCTGTACTCTCGCTAATTAAGACACACTTTTGAAAAAAAGACTGGTTTTCTAGACACAGCCTGCACCTGAAAGGGGAGTAAAAATAATAAATAAAAGAAAATAAAAATCAATAAAACAAAAACAATAATAAAGATAAATGAAATCAAATAATAACATAAAATAAAATGAAATAAATAAAATAAAATAAAGATTAAATGAAATTATAATGAAATAAATAAAAGATGAAAAATAAATATATAAACCAACAACATAACATGAAAATGCTAAATATATATACCAACAAAATAAGATGAAAATACTAAATAATAAATATATAAGCCAACAAAATAAAATTAAAATAACTAAAAAGTAATATAAAAAATAAAAAAAAAACCCCGAACGCACCACCCCCGGTCCGGGGCTCGCGTTGCATAGGATCGGGCCCCTCCAGCTGTACCCGGCGCTCGATCGCACTGCGGCTGCGCGGCGGTCGCGCCCGAGGCGGCATGTCCTCCGCCGGCGCCCGTAGCGGCCTTGCGCCTGCGCAGTGGTGGGGCCGGTGGGGCCTGTAGGTGGGCAAGCGGCGCGGCACGGCACGGCACAGCACGAGGGGCAGGATGTCGGGGGCGTCGGCAGTGCGGATCAGCATCGAGTCGGCCTGCGAGAAGCAGGTGCAGGAGGTGGGGCTGGATGGCAGCGAGACCTACCTGCAGCCGCTTTCCATGTCGCAGAATCTGGCGCGCCTGGCACAGCGCATTGACTTCAGCCAGGGCAGCGGCTCCGAGGAGGACGAGCCCGGGCCCGGCGGCCGCGACTGGGCCTCGCCCGGCGACGCTGAGGACGAGGAGGGTGAGTGGGGGGGCGGTCTCCTAGGCGACGGCCGTTGGGGCCGCGGGGGGGCGCAGTCTCCTAGGCGACGCCTGGGCCCTGAGCGTTCGCTTCTCCCGTGCATGCGCCAGGGTTGGTGAAATTCCAGCCGTCGCTGTGGCCCTGGGACTCGGTGCGGAACAGCCTGCGCAGCGCACTGACCGAGACCTGCGTGCTCTACGACGTGCTCGGCATCCTCAAGGACAAGAAGTTCATGACCCTCGACCCCGTCGTGCAGGACCCGCCACCCCCCAAGCAGGTATGGCTACCTCTGCACCCGCGCTCTGCCTGCCCCAGCGCTTGGTCCTGAAGCCCCGGTGGTTTTGGAGCTCGCTGCCAGTTCTGCTGCCCTTTTAACTTGGTGCCTGGGGCGGATGTCCCTTTTGCCCATCCCTAGTGATGCTGCTGGGGTTGCCTACACCGGTTGCTTTCCACAAACGCATTGTTGTTAGCGGGACGTGCCTCATCTTGCAGCACCTTTGGGTAGGGTTACCATACATCTGGGGTTTCCTCTTTTTGAGCTCTCTGGTCACTGTCCGGGTGGCTTTTTACATCTGCCCAAATGTCCTGTTGCAGCCCCAACCCCCCTGCCCTGACAAAAGGTCCGGGATTGTGCTTTGCTCCGCTGCTGGGAGCAGGGGGAGGGCAATCGGTTGCAGCAGGGAGCACAGCTGTCCCTGCCTGCAGCTGCAGAGGTGGGCGCAGACCCATGTGGTGCTCCCTGCTGCCTCCTGTCGCCTCCCTCTGCTCCACCTGCAGACCAAAGCTGCACACTAAAGCAAAATCCCAGACCTTTAGTCAGGGCAGGGGCTGCAACAGTGTAGGGGGGGCGAGGGGTTGCCTGATCCTCCACCAGGGATGCATGACAGGTGTCCTCTTTTTTGGATCTGGAAATATGGTAGCCCTACCTTTGGGAGCAGATAGCTGGCTCGTATGTGTCGGCACAGGGAGCATGACCTGAGCCTCAGCCAGGTGCAGATGATGAATCGCTGCACTGCGAGGTCATGCAGGTTGCTGTTTTGTTTTCAGATCCCTTTTCAATTAGAAAAGTAGCTTCATAGAGTTTTGTGGCATGACTCTGCAACTGCCCAGAGCAGGGGTGCCAGGTCCAGCCTCTGGGCCCTGGTGCTGGCCCTGGATGTACAGCTGACCTACACTTGGCACATGCCAGACTGGCCCTACATGCAGGACCCAGGACATGCACTGCATGCAGTGCTCACTCCAGGGCCCACACTGTATACAGCACCTGTGTAGGGTCAGTCCAGGGTCCTCCCTGCAAGGCTGGATCCAGTGCCCACTGGGCCAATCCTAGACTGTACTGCACTTGGTGCCCACTCAGTCGTTCCAGGACCCATGTTGCACGTGATAACCACCCAGGACCAGCTGAAACCGGCGTTGCATGCAGCTCGTGTCCCAATCCAGCCAGAGTGAGCACCACGTGCAGCACAGTCCCAAACCAGCATTGCGGGGGGTGGCCATTCTGGCTGTTCATCAAGCCCATGAACCAATCTTGTGCCATATACTTGGCCCACCAAGCCAGAGGAGTTTGACACCCCTGGTGTAGAGTAATGGTTCTCAATCTTTTTAGACTTAAGGCACCCTATCTGGTTTTTTGAGTTGAGCAGCACCCTGTTTCAAAAACTAATTGATGTATTACAATCAATTACTGCTTGAAGAGGGGCTGGGGAAGGAGGAGGAGCAGCCAGCAGGAAATAGCTTGTGGTGCAGTGAGGGGTGGAAGGAGGGGCCTGCATTTACCTCCTCACCTAAGCTTTTCACCTATCTCCTCTTTCCAGAATGCAGCACCCTTCAAAAACTATCACAGCACCCCAGAATGCTGCTTGTACCATGGATGAAAATCATTGGCCTAGAGGGTTGTGCACCCCTGATATAGCTCCTACTTTGTTATCTGTTGGCTGAAAGGGTAGTGCTGAGACTCATTTTGGTCTCAGTGGTCTGTGTGCAGAGACTGCCAATACAGTTGTTTATTAGTATAGCGTGAGGCATTAAATTCTTTTCAAATAAGTTACTGAACAGCCAGCAAAAATAAGTACCAGCATTTTGCATTACCATCAACAATTTCTAGTAATGATTGCTTTGAAGATGTTTTTTCTCATAAATATTTACTTCCATTCAATGTTTATTTTCACGTTTCTAGAATCCTCAGTTTTTACAGTTGATTTCAAAAAAGAAGTCACTAGCTGGAGCAGCACAAATCCTGTTGAAAGGAGCAGAAAGGTTATCTAAATCAGTAGCAGAAAACCAGGAAAATAAGCGGCAAAGAGATTTCAACTCTGAGCTGTTGAGACTGAGACAACACTGGAAGCTGAGAAAAGTAGGAGACAAAATTCTTGGGGATCTGAGCTACAGAAGTGCAGGTATGGTAGGTTATTGCTTATCAGGAATCTCAAATTTTGATATTTCAAGAAACAACTGATAAATAATTATTCTATTCTAATATAATAAAGGGCTTAATCTGTCTATCTTTCCGTAAGACTTTTGGTCAACTGCGCACGTGCCGCTGAGAGGGCGGGTGGCAATTGGCTGTGCGGACCCAGGCAGGGAGGAGGCGGAGGTGGGCGGGTGTGTGGGTGGAGGCATGTGTGCACTCAGCAGCTGGGAGGGAGGGAGGGAAGGCGCCCCTGCTAGCTGCTCAGTGGAGGAGGTGGAGGCAGAGACAGATGAGAGGTGGGGGTGCACGCACCCACCCAACAGCTGGTGGCGGGGCAGGGGGGAGAGCCCCGCTGCTCAGGAGGAGGCAGATGCAGGCAGGGATGGGAGGCACTGGACCCCCCCCCCCCCCCCCCCCCCCCCCCACTTTGCTGGTGGGTGGTAGTGGCACAGGGAGTGTTTACACTCCTTTGTTATTTTAAATCCATTATTCATGACTGGCAATTTGTTAGTATTATATAAACCGTTTTAAATTATAAAGGGGAGAGGAATTATTTATGAGCTGACATGAATAAGAAAGGAGCAAAGAGAAGAACTTGCTACTTAACAGGAGAGAAATTGAGGCACTGAGGTGGCTAAGGAATTGATTAGAGCCGTTGCCTTTTTGGTACCTAGAAACCAAGTGTGTTGAAATATTAAAAAATATACAATAAGGAAGAATCTTGCATTAGCTATAGACTGGATTGGATAAGTGCTAGGTTTTTTTCACCTTTTTAATTTGATGTTTGAGATTTGTTCTGTAAAGTAAAAAAAGAAAAGTTGTGTGTCACCTTTTCTGAATTAAGATCCTGATTGTATCTGAAGTATAAACTTTCCAGTATTAACTTGTATTTACTAGAATATTGAATGAGTGAATTATGTTTTACTTAGTTAATGTAAGTTTCCTATTCTGTTTTGGAGCCATGATACAGTAGACACAAAAATGCTGTTTGTGTGGCAGTAACTCTAAGGTAATATTGTCCTAGTTAAAATATTGCTCCTGAAAATACTGCTACAAGTGCTGAATTCCACACCTGAGTAGTCCCACTTTAAGCATGTACATGTTGTTATTCACTTCAAGTTAAGCATTTGCACAGGTACTTGTGAGTAAAGGAGAATATAGCACCGGTCTAAGTTAAAAATGAATCATTGCTTTTTATGCATTATGAGGAGACAAATTAATTATTTTGACTGCCTGGGAGTAAGATATTTTGCTGCAAAGTTGTTTTTGTTGGCAAGAACCAGGTACCAAGATGTACAAAAAAACTCTCCCCTCCTCTTCCCACCTCTCTCAGAAAAGCTAAAAATACTTCACTGTCCACACTGTCCATTTCAACTGTTCTACTGTGTTTTCGTAATGTTATCTGGTAAAGCTTTTTACACTAAAATTATGGGGTGAAGAGAATACATTGTGCTGAGGCGCACTTAATTTTCAAGAAACAGCCAAGTAAATCAAATCTAAGTAATACTCCTTTTGCGTGGTACAAATGTGTGAGGACTTCCTATAACAAAAACATTTGCTTTTGAAAGTTTCCGTTGTTCACAGGAACATGCATGTTCTACGACACAACATGTACATCCCTGTTCTTCCCTTTTTTAGGATCCCTCTTCCCTCATCATGGCACGTTTGAAGTGATAAAAAACACAGACATTGATCTGGATAAGAAAATCCCTGAAGATTATTGTCCACTGGATGTTCAGATTCCAAGTGATTTAGAGGGATCAGCCTATATAAAGGTGTGCCAAATATATATAGTATAATTTCTACATTATTTACACCCCAGGGAATTATGCACAGAAAAACTCAAAATTATGCAAAATTAATTACTTTTTTTAACAACTTAAACTAAATACAGTAAAAGCCCTGTTATTGGGCATGAGTGGGGAATGCTGGGTGCCGGTTATGTAAAAATTCCAGTTATCTGGGTCATGCAGGGCAGAGGGGGGCAGCGGCAGCCGAAAATTCTGATTATTAGAGTATTCTGTCTTGTAGAATGCCACATAACAGGGATTTTACTGTATAACAGTATTTGAGCCTTCTTTAAAAATATATGCAGGTACTTTGTATGGTTGTGGGGTATTTGGGGGGGGATTTGTGAAGGTGTGGGAGGGGTATGGGTGTGTGTGGGCTTTGTGGAGGGGATTTGTGAAGGTGTGGGAGGGTGGAGTGTGTGGGGGGATTGTGAAGAGGGGTGTGTATGGGCTTTGTGGGGAAGTCTGGGTATGACAGTATGTGGGTTTTGTGGGCATGTGGGGGAGTTGTGAAGGTATGGGTGGGTGTGGGCCCCCCACCACACCACACATCCTTCCACCCCTATGGTGCAGAGCCCCCACCACTGGCAGAGGCAGACAGAGCCCTCAGCTGCTCACGCCTCATGGAGCCCACCTTGCCCAGTGGCATGCAGCCCATACCCACCCACATGCACCACAATACCCACCCTCTGCCCCTCATAGTCAGGAGCTCCCCTCCCCACTTACCCAGCTGTCCAGTCATGTGGCTCTGTGCCTCCACATAATGGGGCTTCCAGCTGAAATCAGGCTCCCAGCATGTGCTGGCCGGGAGCGATATGCGGACCCGTCCTTGTGCACGCGGGCTGTGGCCAGCAGCCCGGGCACGCAGGGTCGGAGAGGACCGGTGGCGAGCTAGAATCAGTCACGGACGCGTAATGGTTGATTTTAAAGATTATTTACTTACACCAAAGATGGTCGTGGTGTAGGCTGGACAGTTTCCAGGTTCAGCTCCGCTTAAATCCTCGTTAGAGGACTACGACAATTCGTTCTTTGCCCCGGAGTTATTGAAGCTCCGCGGGTTCGGTAGTTTCTTGTACAGGAAGGGATACGTCTAGGAATTTATCGGCGACGGGGAGAGGCTAGAGGCTGTTCGTTCTTTTCCCCAAAGTTGTTGAAGCTCCGCGGGTTCGGTTATCAGGCCTCTATTGCCTTTTAAGAAAAGCGTTGGGTCCGTAAGGATCCGCAGCGCTTGGAGATCTTCACGCTCTCCCTCTCGAACTCCAATTGCTCTCTGTCCAACTTGGGCGGAAACCACCCAAGCTCTTTATACGGCTAGCAAGCCAATCGCTAGCCGCCACGTGTGCATGTATTAGAATCAGCCAATAATGTGGCACGAATCTTCATACAAATGGCAGGAACTCCTTTGCACCGTGCATTTCCTGGATGCCAAAGAAATGCACCATGCAAAGAAAGCTACAAATTTGGCGGGAATACTCCGTTGCACCGGGGTTCTCCTCTGCAGCAGAAAACTCCACCGTGCAAAGAAGCTGCAATTTAGCGGGAAAATAATTTAGCAGTGCCGAAGCACACACAAACAAAAAATCACAACTTTGGGTTGTGACACCAGCATGCTCCCAGCCCCATGGAGGTGGAGGCACAGAGCCTGCCATGGTTAAATGATGCAAAATAATGCGACTATGCATGGTCATGCCTTTTATGCGCAAAATTGCATAGTTCCCCAGGGTGTAATTATTCATGTACTGGTATGCAAAATGAGGCAAAACAATCTCCTTTTTTCTTGTACAGGTTTCTATTCAAAAGCAAGCTCCAGATATAGGTGACCTTGGCACAGTTAACCTCTTTAAAAGACCTCTGCCAAAATCAAAACCAGGTACCATTTGTTAAATTTCACTCTCTAGGGGTTTGAATTTTAATGCTTAATGAGGAAGTATTTGTGGTGGTAGAAAACAAGAACAGAGGGACATTTTTTTATTCTTGATTTAGTAGAAATTCTATACTAGATTAAGGTTGAGGTTTTGCAAATATGGCTCCCTCAAAATGGCTACATAAATATAATGGTTCTGAAGGTCTAAATATCATTTGACTTTCATTCATCCACTTAGCTGCTGAAGTAAAGCTATTGACTCATTTGTCATTTCCTGCTG